CTCAAGATCCAGCAACGTGACACAGGGTCGGGGGGAGGGGGAGGGTCCCTGATGCTCCATCACGCCTGCCAATGGCTAACCCCGGTGGACCAGATCTGGCCTGCAGATTAGTATTTCCCTCTCCTGCCATGGTGCATGTTGCGACCTGTCCACTAAAAACTGGACCGAAAGTCCACTAAGCAGTCTCCAGATGGCCAGCCAAGAGGTAAACTGACCCTATCTACTTCTCCAAACTGTTTGTGAGCAGCTAAAATGTGATCTGCTTTCCAAGGGGATTCTAGCATGCCAGCCATTGCTCCTATAAGGGTCCTAGCTCCCAGCAGACCCAAGCATAAAACACAGAGAGTAAAATGCAGCCTGCAAATTGCTCTCTTTCTGGGACTGCGTGAAGATGCCACCGCCCATCTCAAAAAAGATAGATTGGAACTGGAAACGGTTCAGAAAAAGACAACAAAAATGATGAGGGGTATGGAACAGCTTCCATATGACAACACTAGGGCTACGCCTACATTGGCATGATTTTGTGCAAATACTTTTAACGGAAGAGTTTTTCCATTAAAAGTATTTGTGCAAGAGAGTGTCTACACTGGCACAGATGCTTTTGTGCAAGAGATGTGATTTTGCACAAAAGCATCCGTTCCAGTGTAGACGCTCTCTTGCGCAAGAAAGCTCCGATGGCCATTTTAGCCATCGGGCTTTTTTGCGCAAGAAATTAATGTTGCCTGTCTACACTGGCCTCTTGCGCAAGAATACTTATCCCTGAGCGGGAGCGTCAGAGTATTTGCGCAAGAAGCATTGATTTTGTACATTAGAACGTCAGTGTTCTTGTGCAAGTACTCGCGGCCAGTGTAGACAAGTGGCAAGATCTTGCCATTGTAGACACAGCCTGGGACTTTTCAGCTTGGGAAAGAGACAGCTAAGGGTGGATATGATAGAGGTCTATACAATCAAAACTGGTGCAGAGAATGTAAATGAGGAAGCATTGTTTACTCCTTCTCACAACACAGCACTATGGGGTTACCACGCATAATTAACGGGAAGCGGGTTTAAAACCAACAAAAGGAAGTATTTCTTTACACAATGCATAGTCAATCTGTGGAACTCCTTGCCAGCGGATGTTGTGAAGGCCAAGACTATAACAGATTTAAAAAAAGAACTAGATAAATTCATGAAGAATGGGTCCACCAATAGCGATTTGCCAGGATGGGCAGGAATGGTGTCCCTAGCCCCCGATTGCCAGAAGCTAGGAATGAGTAACAGGGGACAGATCACTTGAGGATTCCCTGTTCTTGTTCATTCCCTCTGGGGCACCTGGCATTGGCCACTATCAGAAGACAGGATACTGGGCTAGATGGACATTTGGTGATCCAGTAGAGCCATTCTTATCTTAAGAACCCTTCCACAGTGAGGGCCTGTTCACACCAATATATATATATATACACACACACACATACACACTAGCTTGAGTTCCCGGTGTTGCTCGGGAAACTGGAGGAACAAAATATAGATAAACAGTAGTCCATTATCTTTTTTTGAATGGTGGAAAAATTGCACTGATTTCTATAGGGATTAAAATATAGGTCGGTATCATCTCCAGAGGAGGGGGGTGCGACCCTGGGTGGAGGGTAGGTTACACGCAGGAGGGGCACCCTAGCTCGCACCCGGGGCTGCAGGTGCCTTGGCGGGCAGGGCGGAGGAGAAAGCTGTTGTGCGCATGGGGGTTGGGGCACTGCGTGCTGGCACAGAGGGGGGGAAGAAGGTTGCTTATGTAACTTCGCGGGCAGGAGGTTCTGGACAGCGCAGGGGGCCGCAGGTGGTGGGCACGGGACCTAGGGTGGGCGGGATGACCCCTGCAGCGCCGCATGGTGGGTGACTTTTTGATTTTTACAGCTTGAGCTCGGGCCCGATAGGGTCCAAAAGTACCGTAAAACCTTCTCCTGGATGAAAAGTTGTCCCATGCAAAGTTTGGTTGTGGTGGCTGTTATAGTGTCCAAGTTATTAGCGCACTTACAAGCATTCTCCTTTATATATTATATATATATATATTTGTCACACATACATACACACAGTATAGTTAAAGTAGTACAACTCCCCTCCCCTAGTGTGAATTCAGTCATATGGCTACAAAAGTGCTTACACGAGTATACCTTATTCTTGTTCAAGAAGGGATATAAACTATATAAGGCACCTTTATACTAGTACAACTTTGTCCATCTTAGAAATTACATTGATATAATTGTATCAGTAATAATCACATTCCTAATCAAAATAGTTCATAGATACATAGGCTCTAAGGCTGGAAGGGACCCTCTGTGGTCCTCTAGTGAGACCTCCTGGATCACACAGGCCATAGGACTTCCGGAAAAAAAATCCAATTTTATTTTAAAAATTGCCTGTGATGGAGACACCACCATGGCCCTTGGTAAATTGCTCTAACCTTTAATCACCCTCACTCGTAAAAACTGATACTGCTTCTAGTCTGAATTTGTCTAGCTTCAATGTCTAACCACTGGATCTTGGATCCTAAATTGGTTAAAAACAAAACAAACAAAACAAAACAAAAGAAACCCTGTATGTAGGCCAGACTTGAGATTCAGGAGACCTACATTCTATTCCAGTTCTAGTGGACGATCTTGGACAATTCACTTAATTTCTCTGTGCCTCAGTTTCCCCACATAGAATACAGGGATAATAATGTTTCCTGCATTTGCAAAGTGCTTTGAAATCATGGTTGATGAGGTGCTAGGAGTTATTATTCTAACCAAAAGCAGCACATGCGCTTGTCTCCTTGTGTGGGTCCATATGATGAGCAGTAGTTGTTTTCTTATTTATTTTATTGTTTACTTGGTTATCTGCTTCCAAAAATAACCAAGTAATGATTGTGTTTGAAGGGGAAAAGCTGTCTTTAAGTGATTCAGTTGCTGAAGGCCAGTGAGATTTTAGCAAACTCCAATTACCTCCTCCTCTTTTCTTCCAATTATTAAACTGACAAATGAAAGGACCATGGTGATCCTTTAGTCTGACCTCCTGCACATGGCAGGCCTCAGGAACTCACCCACCCATGCCTGGCTTGAGTTACTGATGTTCTTGAATTGTGGTTTAAAACTTCATGTTACAGAGAATGCATTATTTGTACTAGTTCAAAAAACTGCAGCTGACTTAGCCCAGTGCTGTGGAGGAAGGCAATCCCCCACCTCCACCCCAAACACACACACAAGGTCTCTGTCAAACTGACCCAGGAGAAAATTCCTTCCCAACCTCAAATATGGGGACCAGTGAGGCCCTGAACATGTGGGCAAGACCCACCAGGCAGATACCAGGGAAACAATGCTCTGTAGTAACTCAGAGCCCTCCCCATCTAGTGTCCCATCTTCAGCCTCTGCAGATATTTGCTGAGAGCAGTCACAGATTGGCCTCACATCAGCGGAGCTGACAGCTACTGCGGGTCCTGGGGCAAGGTCGGGAGAGGGCGGGGGTGGCTCCATGCCCTGGAAGTGGTGGGGCCTTGAGCAGAAGGGATGGGGATGGGGCAGCTCGCCCCTCCCCACAGCCCTTAGAGCCGCACGGAACGAGGTTACAGTGCTCCGAGGGCCATTCAAAGGGGGTCAGGGTCCCGCCATCACCTCTGCCAGAGTAGCAATGGTGGTGGCTGGGCACTCCAGGCCCCCTAGAATCGCTGGGGTCTGGGGCAATTGCTCCCTTTGGTGCCCCCCATCAGCAGGCTGGTACACATCACTGTACGCAGTCTCATCATACCATCCCCTTAGTTTTTCTACCTCAGCTGCTCCCCTGCCTGGTAAACCTCCCAAGCTCTGTGCCCCAGTGTTATCAACTATGAAATAAGTCTTTAGCTAGTTAATCTGGGTGAGGTGCTGACAGGGTCCCTGCACACTGGCACTGTGGCACCAATATCCCGGTACTTCAACAAGGACAACTGGGGAGTCCTGCACTTGGGTTGGAAGAATCCCACGCAATGTCATAGGCTGAGGACCGACCGCCTCAGCAGCAGTTTGGCAGAAAAGGACCTGGGGATTACAGTGGACGAGAAGCTGGATATGAGTCAACAGTGTACCCTTGTAGCCAAGAAGGCTAATGGGATATCAGGGGGCATTAGGAGGAATATTGCCAGCAGATGTAGAGAAGTGATTATTCCCCTTTATTCAACACTAGTGAGGGCGCCACATCTGGAGTACTGCATCCGGTTCTGGGCCCCCTGCTACGGAAAAGTGGTGGACACGCTGGAGAAAGTCCGGCAGAGGGCAACCAAAATGCTTAGGGGGCTGGAGCATATGACCTATGAACAGAGGCTGAGGGCTTTGTTTAGTCTGCAGAAGAGAAGACTGAGGGGGGATCTGAAAGCAGCCTTCAATTAACTGAAGGGAGGTTCCAAAGAGGATGGAGAGGGGCTGTTCTCAGTAGTGACCTATGGCAGAACAAGGAGCGATGGGTTCAAGTTGCAGTGGCGGAGATCTAGGGTGGATATTAGGAAAAAACGATTCCCTAGGAGGGTGGTGCAGCACTGGGATGGGTTCCCAAGGGAGGGGGTGGAATTTCCATCCCTAGAGCTTTTGAAGTCCCAGCTTGCCAAAGCCCTGGCTGGGATGACTGAGTTGGGGTTGGTCCTGCTTGGGGCAGGGGCTGGATTGGATGACTCCTGAGGGCTCTTCCAACCCTGGGATGCTACATTCCCCCAGGGGACGCCCTGAGCTGCTTGTGCCCTTCAGTCAGAACTTGCAGACAGGGGGGTCCCCGTGGGGGCGCTGCGCATTATCTGGCAGGGGCATTGCTGCAGCGCGGCGCTAGGATCCGCCTGCAGGAAAACACCCGGGACTCACTCCAGGGACCCGCTCTTGCTCCGTTCGAGTCCACGGGCGTTTTTGCCCTTGCAGGAGGATTTTGGGGGACGGGAGAAACTACAATTCCCAGAAGGCGCTGCGAGTTTGGGAGCCTTCCAGCCGAAGCCGCTTCCCCGCAAAGCTAACGGCGCAGA